CCTCCCCCCTATGGACAGACACAGACAGAACACTGGACCTCTGCAGACACACACCCATGCTCACACCTCCTCCTAAAGACTGAGATTTGCACTGAGCTGCACTTTATAATGTTACTACACTCTTTTGCTGCTAATATGCTGCTGACCTGATTAGGTCCCATACATTCCTTTTTATTTGGTCATTGTTTTATATTGGCTTATACAATTGTGTGTTATGTAAATAATGTGTCTTTTAAGCTGAGAGCTGCCGGAAAAAAGTTTGTTGTCATGATTCTGTCCCACCTGTTTCCGGTCTCATGCTTTTATTTTGACACAACATCCTGGTTTCGCCATATCTCAGCTAAGGACTTTTTACATTAATCAGCACTCAATTGTTTACACCTGTTTTCACCCTGATATAAGCAGCTTTCCCTCCACCGGAAAGCTGCCAGATTGTTCTAATGCATGTTCAGACTTTCCAGCAAAGTCCTTGTGCCTGTATTTCCTGTTCTGGCCCTGGATTGTTTTTGACCACTGTGTACTGCCTTGCCCTCCTGATTCGGACTGCTTTCTGTGTATGGATTATCGGACTTCCCTCTCTGACATCTCGTTTTGGATCCCTTAGCTGTGTGAGTTTTGCTGGTTCTGACCCTGGACTATGTTACCGACAGCTATCATACCACACTGAGGAAGGAGATGCGTTCTCTCTCCTAGGGAGGAATGTACTTTGGTCCAGACAGTACAAATCAAACCCAGAACAACAGCAAAGGACCTTGTGAAAACACTGGAGGAAACAGGTACCAAAGTATCTGTATCCACAGTAAAACGAGTCCTGTATCGAGACAACCTGAAAGGCTGTTCAGCAATAAAGAGGTCATAAAAAATGTAGACTACGGTTTGCAGCTGCACATGAAAAGCCCTCTGGTCTGATGAAACAGAAATTGAACTGTTTGGCTGCAATGACCATCATTATGTCTGGAGGTAAAAAGGGAGGCTTTGCAAACCGAAGAACACCATCCCAGCCCTGAAGCATGAGGGTGGCAGCATCATGCCGTGGGGGTGCTTTGCTGCAGGAGGGACTGGAGCACTTCACAAAATAAATGGCATCATCAGTAAGGAAGATTATGTGGGTATACTGAAGCAACCTCTCAAGACGTCAACTAGGAAGTGAAACCTTGGTCAAAAATGATTCTTGTCCAACTGGACAGAGACCCCAAGCTGTTACGGCAAAGGGCCAAAAGCACAGGGGGGGAGGACACCAGCAGCAGGGCTCAGATTCAGGTAATCCAGACTGGAGGACTGAGTGCAGGGGAAAAAGACAGAAACTAGGTCATGGGAAGAGTAAAGTCTCTGAGTTTACTATGGTCCCGGGACAGAGGAGACAAGCTGTCAACCAGACAGGCGGCCTTAACTAGAGTGAGCTGGAGTGACTTAGAGGCATGGTGGCCCTGAGCAACTGGAGGATTGTGTTGGAGTGAAACAGGCAGGTGGTGAGATGGAGATGTTGTCAGAGCGGGGATACAGGCAGCAACAAGGAAGATGGGAGAGCTACACTGACACTGGGGCTGGAGAGAACTCGTTCCTTGACAAGGTGCCAGTTGGTAAGCTGAGCAGGCACGGGGCTGGGAATTACCCAGGCAGTGACAAGGAATAAACAGGTGAGTATGCAGACACTGGGGTTGTGGCAGAAAAGCATCAGGAGAGCAGGACAACACAGGAACCAGAGTACTGTCAAAAAACAGAACTAAACAAAGAATACCAGGAGGGTACTAGCAGCCAAGCAAGCTAAACTATTGGTAGCAAAACTAGAGAGCAGAGCGTCGGCCAGGGAGTTTCTCTGAAGACAATGAAACTGACTGGCCAGGAGGAGACAGATGAGCCCTGACTAAATACTCTGGAGAAGATTGGTTCATGAGCTACAGCTATGCTCACTCTCTGCCAGTCACTCCCAGAAACATGGCCTCTTGGAGAGGGAGAGAGGAAGGAGCAGGTTTGTGCCCTAACACAAGCAGACTTCCAAAATTGTGGCTAAATGGCTTCAGGACAACAAAGTCAAGGTACTGGAGTGGCCACCACAAAGCTCTGACCTCAATCCAATAGAACATTTGTGGGCAGAACTGAAAAACCATGTGTAAACAAGGAGGCCTCCAATCCGGACTCTGTTCCACCTGTTCTGTCAGGAGGAATGGGCGAAAATTCCAGCTGTTTATTGTAAGAAACTGGTGGATGGCATCCTAAAACGTTTGACCCAAGTTAACCAATTTAAAGGCAAGGCTACCAACTAACCAAGTGTATGTAAACGTCTGACCCACTTGGAACGTGATGACAGAAATAAAAGCTGAAATAATTTTTTTTCTCTGCTATTATTCTGACATTTCACATTCTTAAAATTATAGCAGTGATCCTAACTGACCTAAGACGGAATGTTTATGGGATTAAATGTCAGGATTTTAAGTGTATGTGGCTGAGGTATATGGAAACTTCTGACTTTTCCTTTTTCTCATATTATATGTTTAATCTGTACACAATCACAATCTGTACTATTTCTGAGAAAACAACAGCTTTTGAGCATTGTCTTTAAAGTGAGGTTACCAGGTTTGATATTATTTTGCCTGTACAGAGACCAAAACCTGTGCTCATTGACTAGTCTGGAGGAGCAGAGGGGTGGTCATGGATGGCACTGGCCACCACCAGGATCTGAGTGTGGTGCCACACCTGCCAGAGTCTTAGTATTAATGAATGAAAAATTAATAACAATGACAAATTGTTGCCTTAAATACAACTAACATTTTTCTGGTGCTTTTTAATTGATACTGGTCAAATTAGTTTTATTTTACATCATGCATGCAACACCCATCCATCCATCCATCCATAATCTATACCGCTTATTCCTGAATAGGGGACTGGAGCCAATCCCAGCTGACACTGGTGGGGTCCACCCTGGACAGGTCTTGCTTGCAATATGATATTTGCATTCATTTTTCTGATTGTGTTATTGTGGAATACGTACTGTAGCATGATTTGCCTCAGTGGGGAGAAACCACTGAGCAGCAGTGATGTGCCCGGATAGAAGAAAAGGAGCACAGCCAAAGTTAGCTAAAGAAAGCATTGTGTGTGTCACATTTTTACACAAAATAAACAATTTGAATTCAAATGTGCTACCTCTCTCTGAGTCTGTGCCCCAGCCTGGCCACCCCATCCAAAATTTTCTACATCCAGCCCCACTGACCATATTTGTGAACCAATGCTATAGCCAGAGACACTGCACAGATGTGCTGGGCAGATGCATATACTATTGTTTCTTAAGAAATTATGTACATATAGTAACTCAACCTAAAACCACAAATGGTCATTTTTACATGGCTGTTTGTGTGCAAATTCAACAAATGAGGCAAAACATGTTGATTTGTGAGGTGCAGAGCTGTTTCCATATTGTTGGAGTCAACATCTTGAATTTCTGTTTTAAAATAAAAATTAACCTGCACTAATTCCAAGTGGTCTCACTGTGTCTGTTCAGTTTGCTTTGCATCAGGCTATACATGATATATTTGTACTCTGAGAGCAAGCACATTTTGTCAATATTGCCAAAACATGTAGTTATAAGAAAGTGTCCTGGGGACAAGGGACAATGTGTGATAATGTAATGAATTTAGTACCAAAACACAAATGTGAAGCCTAGTTAGTAACACACACCTTATAACTTCATACTTTGCCCTGTAACATTATGCTTCATATTTCCATCCTCACTTTGGGAGAAGGTATCGGAATCTTCAGGCCCACTTCACCAGACTTACAAACAGCTACATTCACCAGGCTCTGACGATGCTGAACACTGTCTGCTGCAGTTCTTTTTCTATTCTATTCCTTTTTTATTCTACTTTACTCTATTTTAGCTCCTAAATGTTATGGCATCCAATACTAGGTGAGAGAGAAACGGTATTTCGATTTTCTGTATGTCCTGCACATATGGTGAATTGACAATAAAATCCTTGAACCTTGAACATACATATTTCCTAAAATGTATAAATATTCCTCTTACCATCTGATAGCATGTTTTCCTATAACTTCAGGATTATGAATTGCCTGGAAATAGCTGGGGTGGCAGTGGTTAATATTGTTGCCTCAAACAAGACAGTTCTGGTTCGAAGCTCATGGCCTTTCTGTGTGGAGTGTGCATGTTCTCCCCATTTCTGCATGGGATAAATGAAAATAGCTGGGCTTGTTGATGTTCCAGCAACGTGTGTGTTGTGGTGTCATTAGCTGCGTGTGTGTATGTGTGTGTGACATGTGCTGCGGTAGCCAGATGGGCAGGGGGACATAAAGCAGGTGTGCTGCTATGGGGATATGAGTGGGGGTGGGGAGATGCATCACTATGGCAACAAGCAACTTTTACCCCAGAGCTCATTATATCTTATTCAGCTTGGAAAACAATTTGGCTGCTGAGGGGAAGGTCTGCGAATGTGCAAGTCAGGATCCACCACAGTGTAAACAATTAAGAAAAAAACCCTACTGTGCAAAGATGAGGTGTAGTGGGATGACAGATGACTGACTGTAAGAGAAATAAGGGAGTCTTTTAAAGGGGCCACAAAATCAAATTTGAGCTTTGTAATGGATCATTACATGGAGCCAGTGTTGTGGCTAAATTCAAGTCCAGACAGATAGTGGTATACTCAGAGTAAATCCTGAGATGCATTTAACAAAAAAACACTGGCGCTCTAGAAAAACAAGTAGCTGAACTTTTTAACCTTGTGTAATTGTTTTTACACAGGCCTCACAAAGTGACAGACTCAAAAATGCACACAAATGCCATAAAAATGTAGAATGGAGACAATGGTTTGTGAAATCTTGAGTAAGTCATCTCTCTCCTTTATTTCTCTTTTTTACAAAGCCTTGGTTCAGCCTTATCTTTGCACCATTTTCTGTCTTAGCTCTGGTGGTTACCAGCTATGCTTTTCCAGGTGGTTACTTTTTAATGTACCTCAAATTTTTACAGATCTGAGGAAAACTGTATTTTCCTCCTGTGTACCTTGGTAATGGAATAACTTGCAGAAAGATCTAAAGTTAGACACATTCAAATCCATTAAAGATTTATATTGTGTTTTATGTGTTGAATTTTAATACGTTACAAATTTATGTGGCTGCCATCTTGGTCAGGTCTCCCTTGAAAAAGAGATTGTGATCTTGATCGTTTAACTTCCTGGTAAAATAAAAGTAAATAATAACAAATCTGAAGAACCCTCATTAGCTTCCTTTACCTGTTGTCCAAATGATCCACTTTGAGCACATCCCTGAGTGAATGTATAAAAAACACACTCCTCTACACAACTGCCTTAAGTTTGTTTTCACTATGACTGGCCAAATTGTTTGCAAACTAAGTGGACAGTTGTGAATGCACAGTTTTGAATCTATACAAGAATCTTTAAATGTGCTTATGATTTATGAATGTGATTAGTGAAACTTGACAGTATGCCCTTGCCTCTGGCAAAACTCCTGCTGTGCATGAGATCTGCAAATGTAGCCTCTGTCTTTAGTTCAGTTCTTCACCCTAACATGAGGCTCACAAAAGTTTGCTGCTGCAACATTTCAAAGGACACTCACACACAGACATGTAGCATTTGCAGTGGGCCCATAACATCCCTTTTTCATATCTGATATAATGATACATTTTGTATATATACTGTAAGCAAACATTTTTCACAAGTATATATAGGCCATTAAGGAAAAAAATAAGCGTACTTCAAAGCACATTACCACGTTGACAAGAGGAGACATTTGTATATTATGTCTGCTGTTAGGAAATGTTTTTCTCAATATATACTTTTTTCCACTCCTCGATGCTTCACTGGCAGAAGCGCATTATGACTGAAGTGCTTTGAGACTGATAACTGCTGGATAATTTTGCTGACAAGTCCTTTAGTGGCTAGGTGAAATTCCATTTGGTGAGTTGTCCGCCTGAAAGAGAATGCATGCACAGCCCACTGCTGTTTTTAGCTAGGCATAAACTATATATATGCCATGTTCTTTCAAACATCTTCACTCAGAGAAGTTACTTTCAGAATGTGAACGCGTACACTACACCCACAACCACTATGTTTCCGATGGTGGCAGTGATGGCAATCCAGAGCCAAATGGCATCCCAGGACATGGGCTGGGGCTCCTCAGGTGGGCTATGAGCTACCATGGAGGCAGCATGGACACTGGCAGAGGAGTTGAACAGAGAGTGGTCAGTGCTGTAGTCATCATTGAGAGATGAGTCCATGAAGGCACCGGTCATCACCGGAATCTGTGGACACAGAAAACAAAGGACAAGGTAGTTAAAATCATTAGTATTCCTATTAAAATGACTTAGTCAATTCTCAGGTATGAGCTGTTAATAGTGACCAGGAAACAAATAATGGTTTAACAAGCCTTCTTCCACAAAGTACAACAGACAGAAAATAGTTACTAAGGGAGGGCAGTGTTGTTTGTTATGTCCACCAAGGTGTGTGTGTGTGTGTGTGTGTGTGTGTGTGTGTGTGTAGGTTAGCAGTATTATGGACAAATGGCTAGATGGATCATCAGCATACTTGGTATAGACATTGGTGGGGACCAGCCCTAGAAGTGATTAGATTTTGGCTGAAAAAGGTCACGGGTCGCATCTCGGTCAAAACTATATAGGGTGGCACTGTTTATCACCAGACCAACTTTCATCCAGATCTGAGCCAGATTCCGGATCTGACAGCCATTTAAAGTTAACACTGAAAGCCGATGGCCTTCTGCCTCAACCAGTTGGGGTGAGTGGATACAGGAGAGAGAAAAGAAGAAAAGCTTCAGGACACAACACAGCAAAACAACAAAAAGACCATCTCTGATGAGCAGATGGTGTCATCAGAGCAGACAACGTAGAGCGGCTGCGAGTCAGGAGGTAGAGCGGTCGCCCCTTAACCTGAAGGTCGGTGGTTTGATTCCCGTTTTCAGCAGTCCACATGTCGAAGTGTCCGTGGGCAAAACACTGAATCCCAAGTTGCTCTTGATGGGCTGGCAGCCAGAGCAGCAACTTGCAGGGACAGTGCTGCCATTGGTGTGTGTGTGTGTGTGTGTGAGTTGGCACCGCAGATGGCTGCCACAGACAAATTCTTTGTGTGTGTGCAACAGAATTGGCCAATAAAAGTGATTATCATCAAAAGAAACAAATTTCCAAGAAAACCATCAGCTCTGATTCAGACTAATGCTGCCAGCTCAATTAGAACTCACAGAAGCTCAACTAGTGAAGCTCTGTTGGACTTTGAACACACACACACACGCACACACACACACACACACACACCCTTGCGGTTGTCGCTTACAGAAAAACTTATAGAGTCTGTACAGAGAGTGACTCTAACCTTAACCAGAACTGCTACTTGCCTATCCTTGACCCTTACCCTACCTTAATCAAAGCTCACCTTACCCCCCATCATTTTCAGAAAATTTGATGACTTCTGGACTTCGCAAAGCAGTGTGCTCCCAGTGTTAAGTCCATACAAGTATATATAAACAAGGCTACACACACAGTCATTACAGCAGAATGCTGTAGAACTAGCCAACCTAATGTAATGACCTTCTGTCAACTGTTAAAATCAGCTCTCATAAGGAATGAGGTTTACTATGCTTATTCTTGATGACACTTACTGTAGGAACAGACTAGGAAAGATAATTACCGTCAGAAGACGAGGGTGCTGTTGGTGTGCTCCTTGCACATGCTCGTGTAAAAAAAACAAACAAAAAACACATATCGTATTCCTTTCTTGCCTTGACTTTTTTCTTTCTTCTTACTACTTTGTAAATATATTTATATATTTTATTAAAGGAGTGTGGCACATTGAGGTTTCTGTGGCTCATGTGAATCTATAATAATCTACAACAAGTCACTAGAGTGGAACTCCAAACTCAACAGTCAGGACATGTGAAAGGCGTTACAGAATAACCTCTGCATAACAGGGCCTGACACTTTGACTTGATACAGGAAGAGTTTTAGTGCATTCTCCATTTTACAACTGAAAAATTTATTTTTTTCTGATTATTTCATGTAAAAAGTCAACAATTTAACCAGATGGTGGTGCTAGAGGAAAAATCATGGAGCATCCAACATGGAAAGGGTTATATCTCTGGGAGTATACATATGCTCAGTGTACTAGATTTAAATATTTATGTGCCCAATAACAACCACTGAAAGAGTTGTTATCAAAGCTGACTGGGGGGTGTTCAAAGAGGGCTCAGACCTGGAGGCTTATACATCAGCTGTTCTGGACTATGATGCTCTCCTACCTACAAAGTCCATCAGGGTTTTTTCAAACCAGAAACCATGGTTGGACAGTACAGTGTCACCTCTGCTCAAGGCTCGGGACGCTGCCTTTAGATCAGGTGACATGCTGGCCTATAGCAGGGCCTGGAAAGAACTAAAGAAGGGCATCTGGCTGGCCAAAAGCAAGTACAAACAGTGCATTGAGGGGCACTTCATGAATAACAACACACAGAGTATGTGGAGAGGCACCAAAACAATAACAGACTACAGAGGCAGCAAACAGCAGGTCAGCCATGATCCCACCCCATTTGTTGACTTCAGTTTGGCATTTAATACTGTAATCCCAGACAAACTGGCACTGTAACTGCATAATCTGGAAATGCCTGCAATGATGTGTCATTGGATTAAAGATTCTCTCACTAACAGGCCTCAAGTGGTGAGAATCAGAAGCTGCACATCATCCACACTGGTCCTGAACACAGGCACACCACAGGGCTGAGTGTTCAGCTCAGTTCTCTTCACTGTTTACCCAAGACTGTGATGCCATTCACCCCACAAACACAGTAATGAAGTTCACAGACACCACCACCGTAGTGGGTGTTGTCTCCGCTACTTTTTACCATACGGACTCTGAGAGACGAGGCAGTCCAAGTAACTTCAAAACAGTGCTGATTTATTCAATGAACACAGGTAAAAATTAACATTACACGCTCAGGTATCTTGCACCTCCAACATGCATTCAGGCAGCTGAAAGATGAAAGACCCTGAACCACAACAGGCCTATACATTATATCACTTCGGGCTAACCCCATTCTACAGAGAGAGAGAGAGACACCAAACCGTGACATCTCCCGGTGCCAGCTTTGCAGCTGACCATGGCAGTAGTCAAAGCATGA